TGATGGTGTTAGTGATAGTCGTGATGGTGATGGTGGTCATGATGATGGTGGTGGAGGCAATTACTATCACATATGAAAAATGAAGCATTTTGAGCTGGAAAATCACACCATCAATCCTCTCAGTTAAAAGAGTTTGGGATTGAAATCCAAGAGGAGCTAAGGTCGGGACAGCCACACACGTGGCGTTAGTGTTGGGACCCTGTTGCCCTGTCGAGATGGTCACGGTCTGTTCTGTGTGTGTCGCGGTGGTGTTTTACACTGATTGTTCTTTCATCCTGCACAGTCAGCCTGGGGCCATCCCACACCACCTCCTGTTTACAGATGATGAGGCTGAGCCTCAGGGAGGATGTGACTTGCCCAACACTCTGCTCTGAGGGCCGAGGTGCAGACGTGAACACCACACTCTTCTTCTTCTTCGGCCCCCTCGGTGACATCGCTGCTTCAGAAGAGGAACCCTGGGCATGTCACAGCATTACTACACCATGACTGTGGGCCTTGGGCGGAGGCAGGTCGTGTTCACGGATTTACTGAGTCTAAAATGCGTCTAAGGCTTTACAGCTGCACCACATGGTGTGAGACACCACCCACTGAGGGGGTCGCCCGCAGAGTGACTCCACGGCTGGCTGTTTCTGTCTTCCCAGCGCCCGGGGAAGGCAGGCCCACCTCCCTTCATACGGCAGGCTCGGAGCCAGGCTCAGGCGCTGGGCTGCTGGAGTGGTAAGAGCTGAGTCCGCGGAGATCCACATCTAGAAGGTTCTTGAGTTCCCACGGCAGGTGACTGCTGGGCCAGCGCTTTCCAGAAGCACGTCACGCTGAGCGGCTCTGTGTGGCTGGAGGAAACGGGGCTCAGCAGGACCCCTCCGTTCTGGAGGCTGACGGGACTTCACCATGAGGAGCACTAGCCGGGCTGGAGGGCGGCTGAGGCTGAAGCTGGGTGGGGTAGAAGGCGAGGGGGAGTCCGGGCTGTGTCAGACAGACGTCAGTTTTGCCGTTTCTGGATGGTGATCAGACAAAGAACCTTTGCAGCAGGAAAGTGCAGCGGTGGTGGGTTTGGCCGGGTCTCCCTCAGGAAGGCCCCCAGCCGCGCGCCTCTCGCGGTACTCCTGACGCACTGTTTTCTTTGATTTAATGACGTGTCTGACATGTGCGGTGGCGTCACTTGGCGCGTCCCGGGGGCCGTGGTCCTCAGGGTCCATCCCATGGCAGCACATGTTGGGGTCCCCGCTTCCTAAATCTGGACGACACTCCCTCACCTGGGGCCCTGTGGCCGCCTGGGTGGCCTGGGGCTTTGGCCGCAGGTGCACACGGAAGCTTCTGTCCAGCAGCCCAGCCCCCTGCCTACCAGCAGCTCCTCTGCGTGGTCCTCAGCCATGGCCACAGCTCCTGATGGTCCCCAGGGCGGTGTGTCCTGTCACTCAGGACTGATGGGCCAAGCAGGAGCTGCTGCTCACAGACCTGTGCACCTGCCTCTGCCCTCCTCCACAGAGCCCTCCTCCCCGCCTCTCCTGCAAGTCCACAGAGCCAGGGCGGGCCCCTGAGGTCCAGGGCGGCCCCGAGGCCCAGAGCTCCAGCTTAAGCTCCCCTCCCTGGCTCCTCCTGGCCTCAGAGGGGACAGAGAGGAGGAGACGCAGGGCGGTGGGCGTGGGCCTGCCTCAGGACCAAGACCAGCTGCCCAGATGCACTGAAGGGCTGCTCTCCCTCCTCTGGACAGAGGCTGAGGCACCTGGGCACCAGAACATCCCCCGGGCACAGCGTCAGCAGGTGGGCACCTTGTCTTCCCTCCGACAGGGGAGGGCACCAAATGCTGCTCTGTGGGGCGAAGACGAGGAACCCGCAAGAGGCCTCACAGAACCCCCAGACAGGCCAGGCGCAGACCCCACCCTGAGAGGCCCTGTTGACCGGCCACCCGGAGCCCT